ATCGTCATCATCAGCATCATCATCATCATCATCAGCATCATCATCATCATTACCATCATCATCAGCAGCAGCAGTACCATCATCGTCCTCCTTCGCCTCCTCCTCCTCCTCATCATCGTCATCATCGTCATCAGCATCATACGAATCATACCCATCATCATCAGCATCGTTATTGTTATCCTTATCATCATCACCAGCATCGTCACCATCGTCATACGCATGATCACCACCAGCATCATCATCATCATCATCATCAACATCGTCATCATCGTCATCATCCCACCATCATCATCAGCATCAGCATCAGCATCATCACCTTTGCCATCGTAAGCATCATCACCATCATCAACAGCATCATCATCACCATCATCGCCATCACCACCACCACCACCATCGTCATTACCCTTGATGTGCTAATTGCTACCACCACCATCATCATCATCATCATCATCATCATTGCTATCACCATTACCATCATCGGCATCTACCATCACACCATTACCATCGTCGTCGTCAGCGTCATCGTTATCACCACCATCATCATCATCAGCATCATCATAATCAGCAGCATCATCTCCATCAGCATCAGCACACTCACCATCAACATCATCATCAACACTGCCAGCACCACCATCATCAACATGAGCAGCAGCAGCATCATCATCATCATCATCATCATCATCATCATCATTGCATCACCATCATCACGATCACCACTAACATCATTACCATCATCGCACACACACATGGACTCATATACTTATTGAACCATTCACACTCTCGTGCGTTCATGCTGAGGCAGTCTCGAGCGGGAGCCTTGTCTGTGAGTGAGTGGCGAGGAAATCTCGGGCGGGAGCCCCTTCTCATGGGGCCCGCAGATCATGCTACGCACTTGAGCGGGTCACTCGAAGCGTGTAACTGTCATGACTTTTGGGCCACCGATTTTTGAATCTTGTGGAGGTCGCAGGTGGGGGCCTTGTCTGTGAGCGAATTACGGGGTAGTCTTAGGCGGGAGCCCTCTCCCAATGGATGTTCGAAACTTGTAAGTGTCGCCACTTTTGGTCCTTCGAGGATGAATCTTGAGGAAGTCTCAGGCGGGGGCTTTGTCATTCAGTGAACTGCGAGGGGATTTCGGGCAGAAGCCCCCACGGGGCGCGCAGATCATGCTACTAGTCCGAGCGGGCCACTCGAAGTTTGTAGCCGCCGTCATTTGGGCTCCTGGGAGCTGAATCTCCAGGAAGTCTCAGGCGGGGGATTTGTCAGTGAGTGAATCGCCAGGACGTCTCAGGCGGAAGCCCCCTCCCTGTGGGGCCCGCAGATCATGTTACCAGTTCGAGCATTTTGTTCCAACCTCGTAATTGTCGTCATCTTTGGGTTTGCGAGCATTGAATCTCGAGGAGGACTCAGGCAGGGGCTTCGTCTGCGAGTGAATTGCGAGGAAGTTTCGGGCGGGAGGCCCCTCCCTATGGACGTTCGAAACTTGTAAAAGTCGTCACTTTTGGTCCTTCGAGGCTTGAATCTTGAGGAAGTTTCGGGCGGGGGCTTTGTCACTAAGTGAACTGCGAGGAAGTCTCCGGCGGAAGCCCCCCTCCCTGTGGGGTCCGCAGATCATGATACTAGTCCGAGCGGGTCGTTCCAAGCTTGTAACTGTCGTTCTCTTTGAGCTCCTGAGGTTTTTTGTATAGAGGAGGCCTTTAGCGGGAGCCTCGTCCGTGAGTGATTTGTGAGAAAGTCTCGAGTGGAAGCTCCATCACTGTGGTGTCGGCTCTGCTGATCGCAGGGGCGGGACGGAAAGGAGGTGAGGATTATTGTCCGACCAACTACGGAGATGCTCGTGTGGGGTCCTACGGTCGAAGTGATATTCTTGTGCTCTATGTTCGGTTCGGACGTGCTCTGTATTCGGCTCGGACGTGCTCTATGTTCGCATCGTACATACGGGTCATTCGAAACCTATAGCTGGTGTGATTTTCGATCACCTGAGGTTGCAATATTGAGGGAGTCTCAGGCGTGGGCCTTGTCTGCGAGTGAATTCCGAAGAGGTCTCGGGCGGGAACCCTCCCTGTGGGTCCCGCAGATCATGCTGTTAGTCCGAGCTGGTCATTCGAAATCTGTCTGCCGTCGACGACGACGACGACGACGACGACGACGACGACCACGCGTTCGACCACGACCACGACGACGACGACGGCAACGACGACGACGACGACCACGACGAGGGCAAAGCCTTCTGCACACGCCGAAGGGTCGGCGGATTCGTCGTCACTTTAGAGCTCCTATGGCTGGAATCTTCGGGAAGTCTCGGGCGGGGGCTCTGTCTGTGAGTGAATTGCCGGCACATCATGATGATATTTCGAGCGGCTCGGCCGAGACTTGTAATTGTCGCCATTTTTGAGTTCCTGAGGCTGGAATCTTGAGGAAGTCTCAAGCAGGCGCCCTGTCTGTGAGTGAAACGCAAGGTAGTCTCAAGCGGGAACCCCTTTCCCAAGGACATTCGAAACTATTTGCAACTGTTATCACTTTTGGTTATTTAGGGATTGCCGGCGGATCATGTTGCTAATCCAGCACATCATTCGAACTCTTGTAACTGGCAGATTATGTTACTAATCCGAACTGTTTGGCCGAAGCTTGTAATGGTCGTCACTTTTGGGACCCTGAGTTTTGAATCTTGAGGAAGTTTCAGGCGGGAGCTTTGCCTGTGAGCGAATTGCGAGGAAGTCTCAGGCAGAAGCCCACTCCCTATACGGCCCACAGATGATGTTATTAATTCGAGCTGATCGTTCGAACGGTGTAATGAGCAGGCCCTGCGGCTGGTGCCGCCGACCATGAAGGCGGGACCTCCCCCAGGACCCCCGCTGGCGACTCCCTCCGGACCGCCCAGGGACCCGCCGGGACCCCAGGGGGTGGGGGCGGTATTTTGACTCGGGACCCCCCTCCCCTCCCGCACCCCCGCACCCTACCCGCCCCGTCAGGGTGGAGAAAAAGAAAGGGAATCGATGTAAGTACGACGTTTTTTTCCTTGTTGCCCCATGTCCTTGGGACTGGCGACGACGCCGACGCCAACGCCGACGCCGACGCCCACGCCGACGACGACGACGACGACAACGACGACGAGGGCAAAGCCTCCTGCACACGCCGAAGGGTCGGCGGATTCGTCGTCACTTTTGGGCCCGTGAGGCTTGAATTTTCTGGGAATCGCAGGCGGGGGCTCTGCCTGTGGGTGAATTGCGAGGACGTCTCGGGCGGGAGCCCCTCCCTCGTGGGGCCCGCAGGTCATGTTGCTGATGCGCGCGGGTCGCTCGAGATTTGTGGCTGTCGTCATATTTTTTGGGCCCTGAGGCTTGAATCTTGACGAAGTCACAGTTTTTTTTTTTTTTTTTTTTTTTTTTTTTTTTTTTTTTTTTTTTTTTTTTTTTTTTTTTTTTTTTTTTTTTTTTTTTTTTTTTTTTTTTTTTTTTTTTTTTTATGTTTTTTTTTTGGGTGAGTGAACTGCAAGGACGTCTCAGGCAGGAGCCCCGTTCCTATAGAGGGCCGCGTGTCATGTCATTAGTTCGAGCGGGTCATTCGAAGCTCGTAGCCGTCATCACTTTTGATCTCCTGAGGCTTGAGACCTCAGGAAGTCTCAGGCGGGAGCCTTGTCTGTGAGTGAATTGCGGGGAAGTTTCAGGCGGGAGCCCTCGGCTGCCCCCCTATGAGTCCCGCAAATCGTGTTACTAATCCGAACGGGTCACTTGAAGCTTGTATTTGTCGTCACTTCTTGGCCCCTGAGGCTTGACTCTTCGGGAAGTCTCGGGCGGGGGCCTCGTTTGTGAGCGAATTGCGAGGAAGTCTCGGGAGGAACCTTGGGCCTCCTCCCTATGGGAACCGCAGATCATGTTACCAGTCCGAACGGGTCACTTGGAGCTTGTAACTGTCGTCGCTTTCGGGCCCGTCAGGCTTGACTCTTCAGGAAGTCTCGTGCGGGAAATCGTTTGTGGGTGAATTGCGAGGAGGTCTTGGGCGGGAGCCCCCTCATTCTGGGGCCCGCGCGTCGTGTTTTGTGACCGAGCGGGTCATCCGAAGCTTGTACGGTAGGTTTGCGTCGTGTCGACCAGCGGCGACCCCAGCGCGGGCGTTCAAGGTTGAACGCCGCCGGCGACCCAGAATCGGTCGATGTTGAACGATCGGACGTTACGGAAATGGCCGATCGTTCAAGGTTGAACGATCCTCGCGACGTCAGGGACCAACGCCCAGGTCGACACGGCACGAACCTGCCGTAAGTGTCTTCGCTTTTGATCTCCGGAGGCTTGAGTCCTTCGGAAATCTCAGGCAGAGGCTTTTTTCAGTGGGTGAACCGCGGGGAAGTATCAGGCGGGCCCCCCTCCCTGTGGGGCCCGCAGATCATGTTACTAATGCGAGCGGGTCGTTCGAAGCCTGAAACTGTCGTCTGTTTTTGAGCTCCTGAGGATTCAGTGCAGAGGAGGTCTTGAGCGGAACCCTCATCTGTGAGTGACTTGTGAGGAAGTCTCGAGCTGGAGCTCTTTAACCATGGGGTCGGCTCCTGATGTTGCTAATTCCAGGGGTGGGACGGAAAGAAGGTGAGGGTTATTCTCAGGCCAACTAAGCAGATGCTCGTGCGGGGTCCTACCAGCGGAGTGAGATTTTTGTGCTACATGTTCGGCTCGGACGTGCGTCTCCGAAGGGTGCGCATAGTACATACTACCGCGGACACTAACAACTAACACGAAACCAAGTCAGACCGCTGAAATACGCCAGTCAAAAAAATTGAGCGCGGCACAGACAGCCACGACCGCAGGCAGGACAAGCTTGCGGCGTGCGCTCCTTTGTGCCTTTCCAGCGGCAGCCGCCGATCAGACCCAGCTGGAAGCTCGCGGCCCTTGAGCGGCGGAATCCCCAACGCCATGAATCATTGCCGCGGTACTACTGTCTCCTGTGCCCTCTTGGTGCACCGGCTCAGGAGGAGGATGAGGAGGAGGAGGAGGAGGAGGAGGAGGAGGAGGAGGAGGAGGAGGAGGAGAAGGAGGAGGAGGAGGTGTGCAGGCCGCCTGCGCGCCCCCGCCCCGTCGACCCTCGGCGGTCGGGCCCCTCCCCGCTCCCCCTCTGCGGCCGCTCTCTTCTTCTCTGCCCGGCTCCGCGCCCCGCGCCTGCGCCCGCCGGCGCTGCCGCTGGAGCCACTTTCCGTCCACGGCAGTGGGCCCTTCTGTGCCCCCCCCCCTCCTCCTCCTCCTCCTCCTCCTCCTCCTCCTCCTCCTCCTCCTCAGCTCCTCCTCCTGCTCCTCCTCCTACTTGCCCTCTTCTCGCGTCTTGCCCGCTTGCCCTAGTCTCTTCCTTTCTTCTTGGTACGGTCGCTCCTGCTCCTCCTCCTCCTCCTCCTCCTCCTCCTCCTTCTACTCCTCCCCCTCCTCCTCCTCCTCCTCCTCCTCCTCCTCCTGCTCCTCCTCCTCCTCCTCCTCCTGCTCCTCCTCCTCCTCCTCCTGCTCCTCCTCCTCCTTCTACTCCTGCTCGGCCTGCAGGCTCCGCTGCCGAAGCGGCGTCCAGACTGGGCGGGGGGGCCCGTGCGGGGGCCACCCTCGCTGGCAGCCGTGCGGTGGCGCCGAGGCTTTGTCGCGTGCTGCGGCTCTTCTGCTCGGCGCGGCACGAGGACCACGACCTGTACCTGCGCATCCTGGGGGAAATCCCCGTGCAGGTCAGAGGAGGAATAGGTAACGATAATGCTGCCCTTGGCTGGCTCAGCTGCCTCGATTTGCACATGTGGAGACGCAGCAAGTACCGTGTCCAACGCGTCACACGCACGTGTTGGCCCATTGGCCCATGTTTTGGCGAAAGTATCGCGCCAGACCTACAGCAGTCAATCTACGAGTTGAGCTCCGTATCAAGACGCTACGGGCTGCACGGGCTGCGTGTTGCGTATCAGAGCAGCTCAGTTGGTTAGTTTTCGGTTTCTTATGAGGGACATCCTGGCGCGCAGTAGTTGTATTGTCTAGTCTACGCGTCCGCCCCGTCAGAGATGGGACGACGCTCGCGTTGCAATGTTCCGACGTAAATCCGACGTCAATCCGACGCAAGTCCGACGCACATCCGACGTGAATCCGAAGTAAACTGGGTCTCAAGTTGCCGCGTGAGGCCCCTCCAGGATTTCCATCATATTGTTTTGGGTCAGAGTCTGGCTACCCTTGGCTGGTTTTCGCCTTTTGGGCCTTCTGGGAGGCCCTCGTCGCCTTGGCTGGGTTCGCCTCGAAATCCTGGTCAGAACGCGCCCTGGGAGAGGTCTGGGGAGCAGCGCTATCGGCACATTTTTGTTTCCCCAGGTCCGCGGGATTACCCCGGAGCAGCTGACGGATTGCGTGCGCGTGATGTGCCGCCTGCGTCTGCAGGAGGACTCCCCCGCGGTCGGCCTGGCCCCCCCCGTCTCCAGAGCGCCGGGCGGCCCTGAAGCCTGGAGCAACCGAGCAGGCCTCCCCCCCCCCCCGGGACGGACGGCAGGCAGGCTCGCCAGGGGTCGTCAGATGCTCTTGGCTGTCCTTGAGGCCATGTGGGGTCTGTTTGGTCTGTTTGGTACTCATGGGAGCCTAGTATACCCTCTTTCTTTTGTCTTTAGCGTCGATGAGCGTCGATTAGCGTCTGGAGTCGATGAAACAGCCCCGATTTAGCGTCGGTTAGCCTCGATTTAGCGTCGATGAGCGTCGATCTAGCATTGACTGGCGCCGATTCGCAAGAGCCGACGAGATGGCATGGAAGGCTCCCATGAATTGCCACCGAGGACGGGGGAGAAGGATGGGGAGGCGGGGTGGGGAGGGGGACGGGGAGGAGGCCACGTGGGCCTCCGCGGCCGCGCTGACCGGACGAACTGGCGCGCCAGACGCGCCGGCAGGGCCGGCAGAGGTGGGCGGCTGGCGTCAGCGGCGTGGTGGCGCTCTACGGGTCGTCGTGGTGCACTGCGTTTTCGTCGTGGGCGCGGCGGCGCTCGGTGGGGGTGGGGAGGGGGGGCGAAGCGGAGAGAGCTCCTCCCTCTCCTGCCCGTGAGTCGGCGGCGAGCAAGGGGGAGGGGAGGTGGGAGGGAGAAGGCCTTCTCAGAAGGCGGCGGGACTTCTCAGAAGCCTTCGCGCCTTCTGGGAGGCTTCCTGCATCTCCGGGGGAGGGGAAGGCTCAGAACACCTCTCAGAAGTCCGTGGGGCGTCCGAGCCTTCTGAGAAGGCCCGCCCCTTCTCACGTCCCCCCCGCGCTCGCCGCCAAGTGATCCGCATGATCCAGCGAAGAAGCGGGCAGTCCCTGCAATCACAGGCAGCCTGAAATCGGGATGGGTTCGGGGATAGGGCCGATAGACTCGAACTGGAGCGGCCCAAGATCAGGAGCCCCCAGCCTATCGCCGGGCCTATCGCGGATCAGCCAGCGCCGCGGCCGAAGCGGTGCAGCTTGGCACATCGGCCCCCGAAGCGGTGAGCGCGCGGAACAAAATGATTGTCCAGATGGCGGTTTTGACTTTGTTGCGGCTCTATGTTCGGCTGCGTCCGATGCCACCTCGGAACTGAGTGGCGGTTCACATTGCCAGATGCTTGCTGTCGACAGTGCTTACCACGTCTGTGATGACTGCGCAGTAGATGCTTGGTATTTCTATCAGCGGCCCTTCTAATTTCCTCAATGGTTGAAGCTATTGGTTGCGCTCACAGCGGCCAGTTCCTCCCTGCCGAAATGCTTGTCCGTTGTGTTTTTGTTCGCGTGGCATCCGACTGCGCTACTACATGCGAAACTGTCATTCTCATCCGTCGTTCTCCTCCTCCTGTCATCGTCTGAGTATGGACCTATTAGTATGAAGAGGACTTATGCAGCATCCGCATGTCCCGCTTGCGCTTGTTTTGAATTTACGTGTGCGCCAATGCCATCACAATGCAAGATGGAGCGCACCTTTGGGCTAGGCGATGACATAGTAACAGCTGTCCATCTCACCTGCAGCACTGCAGCACGGGCCAGATGAGGTATGCCACAGAAAGCTGGTGGAGCTCCCGATTGGCGGCCTTATACGGCATTATGGAAATCCCTGGCCATACCCATCTCCCCGGCCTCGGCGCCTCCATGCTGAACAAGACGTGGAACAAATTCACCAACTAAGCGGAGTTGGCTCAGTGGCAAGGCTCACGACACCTTGCCCAGTGGGAGCTGTGGCTGCGCGGTCCTGCGCGACATATCGCACGTGTTAGCCAAGTCGGCAGCGTCCGACACCTCTGGTGTCGGACGCCCTCGAATTGTCGCCCTCGAACGCGAACGGTCTCCCTCGCACGGTCGGCGGAATGGTGTCCCCACGAAATGGGAAACGGGCTCCCCCCGGAATAGCGCCCATCCACCCTCTCATCCATCAGCCCTCCGATCGACCAGGCAACTTAGACCTAGCCTGTGCCACTGGGGGGCACCATGATTGGCTTCGAAATCCTGATGCAACCGTAGTCCCCGCAGACACTGCTGGGCTGGAGTGGCCGATTGCATCACACGTTAGCTTGCGTGCACATCCACAACTGGCCCCGTCCAGGAGCAAGGTGACCGCGGTGACGGCCTCGTAGAGCACTGGGTACGTTCGCATCGAGAGATGATGGCGGCGTCCACAGACGCACAGGGCAGCAAAGATATTGACACCCACAGCCAGGGATGGTCGATGCGGGGGTGGCAAGAAGCATTCTGCTGACCTTGAGCCTAGGCGGCCACAAAGCCCCACTCCCTCCGCTCCTCCATTTCTTCGTCCCTCCCCCTTTTTGTTGTTCTGCATTCCCCTCCATATTCGCTGCAGATCCCCCTCCGGACCTTGAAGATTGGAGGGGCCTATGGTGTCCCTCGAACCTTCACAGTCGGTCTCTCCAACATTCAAGGTCTGGGCACCACACGCCTGAGCCGACACTTCCAGGGAGGCACCATACGTATCCCCGACACTTATGCTGACCAGGGCGAGGGATACAGTGGTTTCCTGGGACCCTCGGTTTCTGAAAGCGGAGGGGAACGTGGGAAAAATCCATCGACGCCTTCACAGTCCCAACGCCAGCTGGGAAGGAAAGGTTCGGGCATTCTCTAGAGTGCCCACCGCCTCATTACTCCACGATTGCGCGTCTTGGGTGCCCGCGCAAGAACCTGTGCAGAAGGCGCGTGCCTGGGAAGTCAACCATCTGCGAAGGGCTTTGAAATTGAAGTTCCTGCCAGGGGAGGGTCTGCAAGGCTACAACTACCGCGCAGCGCGTCTTCTCGAAGGCCGCGTTGTCCGGGCAATACCTCAAGTTCACCACAAATCGCTCCAGCGTCTTCATCGATGGAGGTATGCGCCCATGCATTGGAGTTGGGGATCCGACAAGTCTGGTTCACCAGAGTTCCCCATTCGCCAGCTGTCTCTGTACCGTAGAGGTGACCACCGGGTCATGGCACAGGCGTGCGCTTCCTGGACCATTTAGTCTGCGCCGCGATGGCGCAGGGGAGTGGCGGTATCGCCGGCCATGCCCCCTGCACCGCAGCCAGAGGACTTCTGGGACGAAGCCGTCCCTGATTGGGAAGTCACGGTGGTGAGTGGCGCCAGGGAGTGGAAGAACCAGGAGTGGTTCATCATCGTTCGCGTTTGCATCAAATGGCACTTTCCTGGTTGGAATAGAGATGTGTCCGTCCATCGTGACCAGGTTCGTACACTAGCTGCGTCTCCTCTGCGCGATCTACGGGGGACCCACGCTAAACGCAAGCAGTCGGAGGACGAGTGGGAGGTGGAGGAGGGGACGGTGGAGGCAGGGCGACGTTGTAAACGACGTCGGCTTTTTCATGACGACACGGAGCAGCGAGCAGGCGTTACGACGGGCGGGGCGGGCACCGGCGATTGGGACTTCGGGGATGACACTTTCTTCGTTTCTGAGGGTCGCCTGTTCTTTGATATCATTTTTCCTTTCATTTCCTCCGATTCTTCCTGGCCCGATCCTTCCTCATCCGCTCATGTTTCCAGGTTTGTTGTCGATAACGCAGCTTTGGCACAATCCCTCAGTGGCCC